CGAGTCGTACCCATCCAAGTCAACGCGAGCGGAGTTTGCCCTCACTCGAGCGATCGGGCCCTGTGGCCACTGATCATGAAAGCAAGCAGCATAATCTCAAGGGACTGTTTCCCTCAGCGACGTGTCGTCGTGAGCCTTTTTGCCCGCTGAGACGTGCTTGCGGCACCTTCGAATTGTACTTTGACATATGGCGTGGATAACTTCCACTTATGCTTGCCCGCCGTCCTTGCAGTGGGTGTTGTACGGCGTTTTTGGTGTTGCCGCAGGTAATAAAGTGTTGCGAATTGTTTAGGAGTAGTACTGTCTATTTGTCGCGCTGCTCTAGGCGCCTTGGCTGTCCGAACGCGCGTGTGCAGCGGCGTTAGTTTACGCGAGGTCACGGTGAACGCATCCCTGTGGCTCGCTTTGGCCGAACCCACTCTATGGCCGCACTCCTGCAGGATACGAATACACTACACAATACAGAGCGCCTAGAAGCACAACCCCTTTGTAGTACAGTTGGTGACTTCAACGTACACATAACGAAGCTTGGGACTTTTCTTTTTCGTCGACCTTAACTGTCCCATGCTATAATGTATAGAAAACAGTCGAAACATATGTGGATAAAAATTTTTTACAAGAGACGAACAGCAATCATAATTATGATGAAACAATATAAAATACAAGCACAAACCCTTTATACAAGTTCGCGACTTCAACGTAGACACTATGGACTTCGCCTATTCATCATTCACTTCGTCGATACGAGTAAATTTTTTTTTTCATCACGCAGTTCTATTTACGGTGTGTTAACAAATTTAATCACGCGGTTTTATTACAAATATTTCCGAAATTGCCCACAAAGAGGTCTCTTCATTCACTCTGCCAATGCGCAAAATGCCGGCTCTCGTGAGGTGGCAATTCAAAGCGTTCATTATTCGTAGGGTCCTGAATGGACAACGTTGACAGAGCGCATGGACAAGCGCATTGGCATTCCGCGATACGTGTGTACGCATGTGTACAGCTCTCTGCTAATGAGGGAAAATTGGCAACGTGGAGTCATAGAAAAACGGCACTGCCGCGTGGAAGCCATCATCACTGCTAGTTCACGTCGGTTACTAGCCGGCCACTTGCTGTAAACGTTGCCCCGCCGCGGTGGTCTAGTGGCTAAGGTACTCGGCTGCTGACCCGCAGGGCGCGGGTTCGAATCCCGACTGCGGCGGCTGCATTTCCGATGGAGGCGGAAATGTTGTAGGCCCGTGTGCTCAGATTTGGGTGCACGTTAAAGAACCCCAGGTGGTCTAAATTTCCGGAGCCCTCCACTACGGCGTCTCTCATAATCATATAGTGGTTTTGGGACGTTAAACCCCACATATCAATCAATCAATTGCTGTAAACGTACGGGCGCGTTTGCAGTGGGTATGTCCTCCTAACCACTCCAAACCACGTGCTTCGGACCATGGACAGGTCTGGCAAGAGGACTAATTTGGGTCAATACGTCGGCGACGGGCTTCCTAGAATCGATGCGCATTTCACGTAACCACGATGCTCTGAGGGTTCGGCAGATCTAGGCGCAGCTTGCCTAATAAAAGCGTGCAGTACGTTTGCTGTTGGTGCAGCGAGTATCTCGGTGTCTCACGGTTAAACTTGGGTAAAATCTAGCTGCTTTCGTTTCTACAAAACGACACACACTTGAAAGATGTGTCGTACAATGCTGCGGCGACGAATTTGCCAAAGGCACCATGACGTGATTAGGTTACTGTGGCCTGTTAAAGGATAGCAATACACATACAACAGCTAACCATGGATATTCCCAAATAGAGCCCCCTCTTGAGACTACACCGCGTTACATGTGTTCTGTGGTACTGCTTGGGTACTACGTTCGCAGCTGTGGTACTGCTTGGGTACTACGTTCGCAGCAAAGATGAGGAGGAAAAGTCCGCCACGAGGAGCCCCGATTGCTAAAGAAATACAAGCCGGCAATAGAAAGTTCCACGAAGGTCCTCATAGAATTGACCGCACTTCCTTGTTAGAGGAGGTCAGCATATAAGCGCTTACATACTTCGGTACGTGACCTGCTTCCTCAACAATGAAAATTCTTCGCGTCGCAAGGAGTCTACAAGAAATCATAAAAGGCAAAACAACCAATCGTTGTTTTAGAAAAAGATCACCACTACTGCTACTCGTAGTGCAGCAATATCGCCAACTGCTTCATGCAGAAGATACATCTGGATGCAGTTGTTCAAATAAGAAAATAAGTATTCTGGATAATAGGAAGATGTCAGAAAATCAAGACAATAGTCAGAGAATGCCAAAGCTTCAATGCCAGATCGTCATTCGAAGTATAGCTACACCGTTACCACTTGAAAGAGTGACCGCTTCAGCACCTTTAGAAGTAACAAGACAAGATGCTGCCAGTCACCCACAACATATGTTAACCGTTGAGATGGCTACGCCGAAATGTATATTCTCCAATTCACGTGCACCGCGCGATTAGAGCTGTTCATCATGAATTAATCCGAAACACTACTGCCACAAGCTTTCTCAATGCTTTCCGACGCTTCGTCTCGTGGCCGAGACGTCTTTCGCTTATGTGTTCAGATAACACCTTAGCATTCGAAGGTTCGTCGCAGCGCCCCCTCTTCCTATTATCTTAGTGTATGAGACTAACTTTGCGCTCCCTTCTTAGGTGACCCCCCCCCTCCCATGTGCACCCGGGATGTGCGTGTGGCAGCTGAGTGCGTCTTCGATTAAAACACGTGTGGTGGAATGCGGCCTCACGGCTCTAGAAGGCACACGAGCCAACGCCAAATTATAGAGTTGATTGCGGCACTCTTAAGCAAGTTCCTTTACATTATGTAGCAGCACTCGAGTTAGTATGACGCACCAATTACCAGCATGTGAGGTGCAGCGCAATTAATGCGGCTGATGTAGAGCGCGTAGCCAGTTCCCGACCCGTCAACTAAGGAAACTGATCGGTTCCGCGAAGGCGGACGCGGAAGACCCGAGCGCGGGAAAGAAAAGAGACTTCTTCGTTCTCACGGTTCACAAGCAGAGCAGTCAAGGTCGCCCCGTTCGGGATTAGAAGGGGAAAGCTTACTCGGAAAAGCGTCTGGCATGAGGCAGGTCAGGCGCCACCGTCTGAGTTTAAGCCATTGTTGGCAGGCACGCGTGTCATTGAGAATGACACGGGGATGCGACCACTTGGCTGACCGAGACATAGTGGCGGCAGGGAAACGACCATAATCTCCCCCGCTGTTGTTAGGATGTCGGGGCGCCTCGCTGTCGCATGTACACCTGGTAAGCGCACGGAGCCCAATGGTGTACCCATCGCTCTTAAGGATGCTTCTAGGAAGCAACAGTTAATGAAAGAACTGACGGGGCTCGAGCGTGAGAACGGCCGCCGACGGAAGTCGGCCGATTGAGGCAGCACTAGTAATGTTGGACAGCACGGCCTGGCATGGGAGAGAGTGTCACACGCGAAGAACCTATCCCTTTGCATGTTTTATTTGGTGACGAGGTTTTTACAAATGTAGTGCCTTTTATGAAAGTGTTGCTGTGATTGGTTGTGATGATGCGAGTCCCAACATGTGATTAGTTTTTGTGAAGACTCTTTCTTCGACCAAGGGTTGAAAAGAGGATGTTTGAATTTGAAATGAGAGCGGAGGTTTGGGCTTGGACTTGGGCAGTCGCCTGAGGCTGCAACAAAGCGTCTCTTCACCGGACTACGGCTCTTCCTTCGCGCTGCCACCGTGCACTCGAGTCATCGAGGGGACCCATTCCGAACCTTAAACATTTTCCCTCCTCAGCTAGTGTTGAAGCTAGTCGAGGAGGAGGAAATTAACTACTCGCGAAAACTTCGCAAGTGTATCGAGGTAAAGTATTCGTTGTAACAGACATTTTTCACATTGTTTTCCATGGGCAGCTGGCGAGAATTGAAAATTAATCGTTGTCGCGAACTTCGTTATATAGCAAGATTCGACTGTAAACCCCTTTTCTAAGCATTGGCAAGATTGACTTTCTACAGTAACAATAAAGAATGGTGTCAGAAATGTTGCCTTGTGAAAGTTGACCACCAGGCATGATGCTCCCACTGATGTTTTTATGAGATTTGAGTATCAAGTGACACCCCTTGCTATTTTCCAGAGCACTGTGAAATGATGGTACTGATTGTTTGAACACATTCATAAAATAAATTAAAGAGTTTGAATGGGCTAAGCTCATTCAAACTCTTTAATTTATTAAAGTAGAGCAGACAGTGATTTAGTAGAGCAGACAGTGAGGCATGTCAAATTAAAATTCGAGATTTAAAGTTAGTAGAAATCAGTACAAACGATTTAGCAAACTGGCACGAAAAATACTGTTGTGGCTGACGTAAAGAGATAATTTAAGGCATAAGCATATTCCTCATCAAACAAGAAAAGTGACTGTCAGCATCGACAAGAATGATGCAAAAAGTCACGTCCCCAGAATTCACAGTTTTACAATGTGACCTCATCATTGCGCCAAGGACCACCAAATGTGTGATGTCACCGCGATGTTGTCGTAATGCCACTACAAGGCCCAATACTATGACATCATGTGATGGCATCATCACACGGCATCACACAATTCGTGATCTATGATGACACAATGGCATTGATTAAATTGATATAAATTGTTTTCTAAACTGGATAAATACAGGTGAATTAATGCTTATCATTTATATCCGAGTGCATAAACGTTATATCGAGGTCAATTATTTGACGCACTCTCATTAGACAAAATTTGTACAAAGATCTAAAAGGAGGGTACTAGACTGTTGGGCGAGAGTTGGTAACTGGTGATGAAAAATGATTATAAGATGTAGAAGGCCCCACAATGAGCAAACAGTCGCGCGGTTTTTTTATTCGTAGTATTGTTTCATGATATTCTCACACTTTTTTTCCTCACTAAAAGGACAGTGCCCATTGAGTACTTGGGTACTGGAGACGGTAAAGTCAGTGGCTAAGAGAAAAAAAGAAGGAACATCATTATATCTCAGCAGATAAAATTTATTTCCAGACTTGTCATAGATGGCACACTGTCGAACAGAGAAAAGCCATGCCAACAGGAAAAAAAAAAGGCTTCGCGGCCATTTTCTCCAACTCTTTTCGTGCACATTAAAATGCTCACTGCACCGAAATATGTACCAATCTCATTTTCCATTTTACACTTCTAATATAATTTTTTTTTGTCTACCAGGGCCAGCAATAATGACACGGGTTTTGTATTTACTCGCTAAATTTACACAATCCTCTCTCTCAGGCACACTAAAAAGGCTTGTACAAAATGGTACATGAGAACAACAGGGAGAGAGAGAGTGGTGTTGCGAATCCCAAACAACAAATACCAGTTCGAGATCTCCACAGCACCGGTAGTACAGCACTAAAAGTTGGCAATAAAAGACGGCATGAACGTTTGCCAGGAACAATAAGATGAAGGTGGGGAAATATATATATATATATATATCTATCTATATCAAGAACATTTGTATGGTTTACTTCCTACATGGTTGCCTTCCTCGTAGTACATCTTGAACAAAAAAAGAAGCTGCTAATTTTGGCAGAAACATGTTTTTGTGCACGAATGCACTGCAGGCACTTGTCATAAACGTATGTTTTTCTCCCCCCATATCTGCTTTTCCAGCAGTAGTTAATGCCAAGCTACACTAAACTAGGGAATATTTTGTAAACCTTAAAGAAATGGGGGCTGGGAGGCGGCGTGTGTAGTTCGTGTAAATATGCAGCTTCATATAAACCTCTTGCACTCTTCTGACATCAAAGCCACCAACACTGCACACTCCCTTCTACTACCTACCACATCGCCCAAAGCTGCCAACCACGGCACCAGTTTGTTACGGCACCAATGCCACAGGATAAGCTTAAATTGCCATGCAATAATACCTGTGATGTCGCGCTCACAATGCGCAAACTAAAGATTAAAAGTTCAGCTGTAGTGGCAAGAGGGACGCATAAAAATATACATGATGGAGGAGTAAATGACGTCATAGCTTACTGCCTGAATGGGAGCAGTGCTTTTCAAGTGGTTGCTTTCGTTCAACTGTGCCACATTTTTTTGAAGATAGGGACGAGAAGGAAGGAAACTCGCACTGCAGGTCTAGCCCTTTAGGATGACTACTCTAGCCACTTCTCCTTCAAGAATTAATGCAACGAACACTGTGCTGCTGTCTCTAATGGGCTACCTATTTAACATTCTGTTCTTTTTTTACCGTAGTATATTAAAATGTTGAACAGCTGATGATCGTATTATAATGGTATTGTCATCACGGCATTTTCGTCCTACATTTACGTTAAATATTTATCTTTTGAGCATTTTCGTCCAGAAAGAAGCGGGGGGTGCCTAGTTTTCAGACCATGCAGCTAGATGCAATGTAGTCCCGCAGTACTACCATGTGCAGTAGTCTAAACATCCGAGAGCCTAAAAACACTTGCGGCCAGTGACTGCAAGCACAGTTCCCATACTATAGTTGCAAATGAGAACAAGCTGCCTTGTTAAAATACTTGTGAAAGGTTGGAACATGCTTGTTGCATTTCTAGTGTTTCAATCGCACACATACCACACATATAACTTTCTTTTTCTTACCGATTTTCACAATAGTTCATAACCGTAACAAAGACCACTTTTTAGGTGTAAAACAAAATGACCTTTACAAACAAAGAAAAAAAAGATCACGCCTTATTAAGCACAAATCAGAGTTAATGAAAAATGTTAAACAATATGTACATAGGTGCTGCTTCATCTACTCAATGCTCAATTAATGCAGAAGAACATGCAAACATCGGTAGTATCGAACAATTTCTAAGCTGCGTTTCCTTTTCCTGTTATACAGAGAAGAAAAAAAAAGCAAAGATGGAATGATTTAACAATTCTAAGAACTCATGAGAGGTTTTTCTCACATCGACATACGTTCAAAAAGGAATGCTGCTTAAAACTAAATGTACTTTGATTCAACTCAGCCCGTCTAATGGGCTGAATGATGTGAAAGAAAAAAAAGAGGTAACACAATAAGTGTGAAAAATGCAGGTGTAAAAATTATGGTGAATTATCATAAATAGGTAAGGAAAATCTTTTGCACATGATGCAGAAAATGTTTTGTTCCTCTTTTGGTATGTTGATGAACACGAGTGTTTGAAAAAATGTGTGAGTGTTAAAACCTGTAATTTCAGTTAAAACAAATCACAAATAGACTCTCAATTAATAACAAGAAGAAAAATGGCATGCGACATTTGATAACATTAACAGGCTAAAATTAATTAAATGTTTAAGCACAGTCAAGGATATGTAAAAGAAGTCAGGAATACCCATGCCTTCTAAAAGAACAATATGCCAAAATATGGATGTAATGCTTATCTTAAAAATACACTTTGCAATTCATAACACACACAGGGTAAAAGCAAAAGCCAACGCGCGTTTGAAATTCCTGCTTCTGTCCCACAGCTTGTTACACTCTAAACGAATCTCGATACCATTCTGTATCAAGTTTTCTGAGATAATACATCATTTCTTTTCCCATTGTCATCCCACGCAAGCAATAAATTTTCACACAGTTGGTGCAATCGTATTTTCATCTGAATTCAGATAATACATCTGCAGATGTGGCCTTTTAGTGGTACAATTAAAAGTCACTGCGCAATTATATTTCAGTATATTAGCCCGAGCGCCATTCGAACGACAACTTAAATACTAAACAAAAATACTGCAACACTTGCGAAGTTTCAGTGCCATTACGTGTGCGTCACCCCGAAAAATTAGCAGTATGATAGTGAGTTTTTTCTGCCAACAACTCGTCTTGTTCTTGCAAAATAAAAATGTTTTGGTGGAACGCTGTCTCACTGTCAACGTGAAGTTAGGCATTCAATTTAGTATCCTTTTCGTTTTTCCTACATTCTTCCTATTCCTTAGAGAGCACGAAAGCGCCAAGTCCTCGAACGCTTTTTAAATATGCTGAACTAGAATTCCAAGCAAGCGACTTCCAGCACAGTAGAAACAGGAGTGAAGGGGGCTGCTTTCCCAAAATGGCACAAAGTCCAATATGGACGCGGCAAAATTTTCCAGCCAAAAAGAAGAAAAAAAAAAGAGCAGAGTGCAGACGACCTTCCTTGGAAGGCGTCAGGCTCTCTTTCCGGGCACAGTTCATTAAAGCAACGACTCACGAAAACAGGAAACACACAGGCGATCCAATGAGGCTGTAAGGGGCATTACATCGAAGCACCATAATAAGCATACGCCAGTGCATCGGCTCGGGCAACAAACATAGATCTCGAAGGCCTTATGTTTGCTAACTACACATATCACAGGCACCACCGTGAGATCCCAAATACAAATCTCGAAGGCCACACTTTTGCTTTCAGGAACCTGAAAATCATCGTGGTAGTCCTGTTTCAGGTTAGGGGCGCGATCATCATGCAGAAATGAAAAAATTTATATAGGTAAATAATTTTTACAAATGTTAGGCGTAGGCATTCAGTGTTTACGCAGGATTGGCTTGAAATTAAACAGGCCTGTGTTCCCTATATGCAATGCATGATCAGGGTATGAGGTGTGAGAGGGGCGGAGGACACTTTACCAGAACAGCGTGGAAATTGGCAGTGAAATTGGAGAGGGCGTGAACTTGGGTGGGGGCACTTGCTCAGAATTTTACGGTAGTCATATGCAGGTGCACTTCTCATACAGGCGAAATACAGAAGTAATCCATGCTGACAATGAGCGTAACTTCAAACACGAACAAATCCGAAACTACTCTGTTGCTTTGTCCCATTTCTAGACTCGCCTGCATTTGTAATAGTGGCTTAATTCAGACATCAAAGTGTACAGTGCAGAGTACCCCACGCTTGGAAATTGGCGACAAAACAAACACTCACCTACTCGCGCACAACACTTTCAGCCAGTAGCTACCTGTTCAGGCTTGAATTACGTTGATAGTGCAACGCTTCAATATTAGTCAGATTGCCACCATGACATCAAAAGTCAACCGAAATCCGATTTCTCAAATGTGCGACATTACATATCTGTGACCAAAGTTACAATAATCATTGTAATAACAACGTTCTCAACCTAGTTTTGCCAAACTTGTGCACCTGTGCTATGACTACTTTCGTGCGCACTAACGCTGACTACACTATGTTTTTCCAGCAAGTCGGAGCACTGAAACCCTCGCATACCTGAAACTTCGCTGCACCTCTTGCAGTGAAACCTCAATACATGTCAAGCAAAGAAAGGTCCTTCTTAAAGGGAACAGGTTGTAGAGATACTATTGCAATGTTGCAATGTTCGGTGGCATGTTGCGTTAAAATGATCTTGTGCAGCAACTGTGCAAGCAGTAACAAAGCTTAACTACGATGGTGTACTTCACTCAAAATCATCGTTTCTCCACTTATCTTCTCACACTGAGCAACGCAGTGACATACTGCCTAAGCAACAAATTCTAAATGGCAGGCTCATTATGAAGGCTAACTATAAAAGAACAAGCCGCAAATAAATTACGACATATTCAGTAACCACTGTTCGCTAGAATTCCTTCTTAATAACTATCTAACAATCAGAAAATGTCACTGCCAAAATAAAAACACTAAAGTGAAATATGCAAAACCCCACAACGATGGAAGTTCACATAAACTTGCGTTCGGCCAACCCTTCTGAAGCACGTTTAACATGGTTAACTGTTTCAGGCACTGCCAATGTTAGCACCTAGAACATGAACACTTGGAGTAACAAGCTGCCAACGTGCAGTGCATAGGCGCGAGTACCACTGGGTTGTTCTTATCATTGTAATCAGACGGACATGGTAGTGACAGCACAAAAGTGAAATCGACTCAAATAAATGCATCTGTTTCAGCCACTACACTTAAAACATCGATAAACACAACCAAAGTCTGTATAGCTGCAACGTGCAAGCAAGAATTCGTTTTTTTTCACCAACACGGCTCAAATGTTTGAGGCAGTCTGGCACATGTCGACAACACACAAAACAAGAACACACTCTGATGAAACACTCAAGCACCACAATAAAATATGATGATTTTCGTTTAACAGTATGTTCGCTGTTGCTTTTAGAGAACACTACGGCCACATCAAACGCTTCACTCTGTTCCATCGAGCGTGTGCATTAGTATCACCCATGCCGAGAAGTTGAGAGGTTATAAAAAGAGCGAAGATGGTAGTGATTACTCCTGCGAAATGCATCTCGAAAACGAAAACCCCCAAAATAAAAAAATATAAAAACTGGCGATGCATTTACTATTAGTAGTCTTGGCCAACTGATTTGGCAATAGGAGGGCACCAGTAAGCAACCAGGCTTCCCGTCGTGCTTAACTTATCTACGGACTCGTGTAACAATAGGTTTTTTTTTCTCCTAATATATGTATATAGAGGGAGAGAGAGCAGAGAGGTGGGCTCAAGCCGTAACCATTACTCTGCATAGGAAGAAAGGAGTGCAGGTTGTTTTGAGAGAAAGGCGTTATGCATGACATCTGTCAACAATAGGTGGTGCGAGCTTGATGCATTAAAACTGGCTTATGTACAATCAAAGTTTCGACAACCGGGTGCAGACGAAGGGGGCGTACAACATTAAAATGACAAAGAGCGAACGCTGAACAAAGAGTGCAAGCCCATTTCAAAACTTGTGCACTTGCATCTGTTTAACTTATGTTAGGTTACTATATGCAACAAAAATAAAAATGGGGAGGGAGAGGGCAAAACGACATTCAGCGATCTCCATTTCGAAAAGGGGTGATGAGGCGATGCCTCGGCTGACAGTGTGCACTGGATGCAGTCCCCATGAGCAGTAGCATTGATGCTCGTTGCGGAAGTGCCATGTTCAATATGCCGACGTATACATTAAGCTGCACGGTGGGGGTGGCATACTCTGTGGTCGGACGTCCACGCCACACGCAGGAGACACGAGAGTCTAGCCTTAAAAGGCTCTCCGCTTAATACACGATGCACGAAGAAACAGAAACACATTGGACTGCTCACGAGGACGCAGTTCGGTCGACTTGTGCTCGGTGACCTGCTGACGTCACCTCTCAGGAGCTGCGCTACGCTAAATATAATCTACACTTATCGAAAGAATGGTCAGCAACGTGAAGAACACTCAAGAAAAAGTTCCACAGCTTATTGACTCTTTACACAGTGGCAGGCATCTGAAAAGAAAAAAAGGATAAACGGAAACAGGAGGGGGGCATTAAAGGCAGGTTCTGTTGACGTATTAGGGCATAACATTGCCAACTAATGTGTTGAATATAGGTATGATGTGCACTTTTTGTGAAAAATTGTGGATGCTAAAATTTTATCCCATATGACTCAATAAACACATCCCTGATTTTACATACTGTGCTACTAGTACGAAATTCAAATAATTGGGTTCAAATGATTGATATTCCAACTCGCCACAGAGCGAGTTGGAATACCAATTCGTTTGTGGCGAGATCATTTAGATTTAGCCTGCCTTCATAGTGTGAACTCAGCCAGGAGTTGTAAAATGTATTGTGTTCATAGCACCAGCTGCTGCAGCGATGTAAAATGCAGTGGTGCTTTCTTCTGGTTGAATGACAGGGTGTCGGCAGATTTTTAAATTTTTTTTTTACAGCGAAAGCTGTTACGAGATCACAGCTCAGGTCATGCGCCACCGTATAGTCCGTAACCACATCACGTGATATTAGAAAAAAAAGAAGAGCCTAGCATTAATGACACAGTCGAGCTCGAGCCTGGGTCCACTGGGTGCCAGCCTAGTATTTTACCACTGAGCTACACCGATGCTTGTGACTTGTTGTCAAACTTGCGCTGGGCAGGCTTGATGTCGGGAAAGCAATAGCGTTAATACGATTTACAAAGCGTTTTAAAACAGCGAAAGAGCAACCAGTCGTCACATAATGCGAATAACATAACGAGTGGGTCATCCAAAGCTCCAACTCATTATAAAAGCTTGTTCTTGTTCTCTTATTAACAGTTGCGCATACCCACTTCAGCCATAATTCCCCATCATCGTCAGCCACTGCATGAGCCATTGACACAAAATTCCTTGCAAGTGTTCAGCGGATACCACATTTCTCAGAAGAATGACAAAAAATAGCATAGCAAATGCCGGCATACTAGCAAAAAATTTGTATTAATAATGTGCGTAGTGGGTATCAAGCTAGTGTGCCTGCAGTAGTTACCCAATGAGTGCTTAGAAAAGGCTCTGCAAGGCTGCTCTTCTAGCTTTTGCTGTGACTGTGCTGCGCCTTACGCGCAGGCCTGGCGTACTTTTTTTTTTTTTTTTTTACGGGGGACAGTGAGAAATGGGGGGGGGGGGGGGGGGAGGCTAGGATAAGGTGGCTCAACCACCTTCAACCAGATGTACTATATATCGCAAGCAAAACTGAAAAATTTCGGTATGGGGCAGGTTCGAACCCTCTTTTGGCTACGCCTATTTTGAACAGAATTTGCAAGATCCCAAAACAAGCTTGCTAGAAAAATGGAGCTGCAAAAAAAAAAAAAAGTGGAGCTCTACACCAGCCAAGGTGTGCAAAAGGAGCACATGACACTACATTTGGAAAATTTAGAGGATATTACTCAGGATTTCAAAAGCCACAGTGTAATGAAGTCAATTATGCAACTTGATGATCTTTTAGAATAAATTTTTACAAAGAATTCACAGTTAGCATCACAACTTAAGAAACCACGAAACGAAAAAAGAAGCTGAATATTTCCGCTGCTTCAGCAGACAGCCTTGAATTTAGGTTTCTGGCCTGTTTGAAAACACACTAATACGTACTGCACAGCTTAGCCAAATACAGTGACAAATTACTAGGAAATTCAGTTTTCTCAGACATAATCGTCTCAAGATTTTTTTATGCTGACTGTACAAGAACGTGCAAGGTTGGCACATGAGACACTTCAATGACATTGAAGAGCTGATAGCAGTGATCACTCACCACAAGGTTAAGAAAACTATGCTTTTATCATCACTGTTAGACATCATAAATGACACTTTGTATTGTGAACTAGAAATATTCAGGTTGCACCTAATGCAGAACTAATGCTTCCCCTAATGGTAGTCAACCTTGCAAACACTTCACTTTATAACCACGCAAAAGAGAGCAAAGCTTCAAGCGCGCCCCGAGTATAGCTGAACAAAGCGTGAATGACAAAACACTTGGCTCACCCAGGCCAACCGTGACGGCCCGTGGGCCGTCATGAACCCTGCACGCGTGGGGAGGCAGGCTCCCCTGGTCCCCTTCGATCATGTGTCCATGTTCCAGTTGTACCAGTCCTTCTGCTGAGGAGGCGAGTTCACCTGGCTCGAACTCCGGGGTGAGCTCTGACTCAGGGGACCATTCAGCAGGCCAGACATGCCCGGGTGAAGCAGGCTCGGCGGGCTCTCCACTGAAAGCCCGCGGCATGACAGCAGCCAACAATTACTATCAAGGCCGATTGTAGCCACTAAGGAAAGGCATGGTGAGGCTAGATCCAGGGGAGCTATAAACATTCCGTCTAATGGACATGTCTATTTTGGTAGAGTGCATTCATTGGCTGAAGAATGCAACAAGCCGTGATGTCATTGAGCTCTTGAGCACATTGCGTGCCAGACCTGTACGCCGCACTTGTATTATGTGTGTGAACGAACATGCATTTCAGTTATTTATGCATAAACAAAGTTGTATTTGTGTGTCAACAAAATGTAGTTCATTTGCTATGAAGCCTTCAGGTGCTGCAGGGTATCTGATCAATAAAAAAAGAAAGAAAGCTTCTAGCCTCACAACAAAGAAAGTGGACGAAATGTACAGACAAAGAATACTTAGAAAAACTTGACAAGTCTGTTCTTGCATATGAGCATGTCTCAGACACTTGCAAATTATGCAGGAAAATGCACACCAACCTGTACAGACAGGAAGGACATACTTAACCTGACTCAAACATTGATATAACGAACACAGTATAATAAATTATGATTTAACGAAGTAAGTGAAGAGTAGCTTTGTCACATGTAGAGTGTAACGAATAGACATTTATAACAAAGTATTTTCTAGGCACATGTGACATTGTTATAATAAGGTTTGAGCGTAATTCTATGGCTAATAAGCGGCCAGAAGAAGATTTCACGATGTGTTTATCACATTGAAAAAAGCTCCGTCATGTCAAAACTACATTGTGGAAGAACTGGAAACAGGGGGCTTGCTTCTTGTCAAGCTCCGGCCAATCAAAGGCAGCCAAAATGGGCATTCTACTCAATGAACAGTTCAATTATAGCTTCTCCAAGCTTGCGAAGTCAGTGCGACGCAAGAATGTTCACAGAATTCACGCATATGGCCATAAGTATAAGACGACAGGGCAAACTAATTCCCTTTGCACTCTTAACGGCTACTGACCACAAGCGAAAAGAGCTGCATTTAGATTTTACCCTTTATTGGTTTTCTTTTCTCTCTCTCCCTTCTTTTCTTTATTCTTTTTTTTAAACGCCGCAATGAGATAGAGAGAAATAGAGAAGCAGTGTGGCCTCCACAATACTGTAAATATGTAACATTTCACAAGAAATTTTGCAGATTTGCAGACTATAACAGTTGCTTCATCTATTGTGTGGGCAGACGGACAGTCGCAGTCTACTAAAGAAGAGGTTTCTACGTGAATACGCTGCATGACTACTGCCCTTCCGAGACCCATTAAAAATCGAAGTTCAAGTGGCTGTCTGGTGCTCAAGTGCTTCTGGTGATGTGCAGTCCATGAACGGTTGCACTAACCAAAAAAAGTTTTGTTCCAAACACCTCAAAGTTGCCTTAGTAAGTTCAATTTCTAACACGACTATGTAAAGAAGGACAGTGCTTCATCTCTGAGTCATTTTCAAGTGATTTGTGAAGCATATTGGCAGCTGAAAACTTGAAAGTTGCTGCATGCACACCAACCTCAAGTTACCTTCTTTTTCTGACATTAAAAATTAACGAAAGCTTATGCTTATTACTGTTATGCGTGTAAGGGTTCTAAAACACAGGGCAGCCACAGAAAGAGCTTTACGATTTGCATGGTTGAAACGCCCAGATTTCCTGCCGTGTGCAGACATCACTCACCAACAAGAGGTGATGGCACTTTGCGCGTCCGCTTGACCAGGAGCCGCACAGTGTTACCCCCTTGTCGAATGATGTTGATGGCGTCGGCGTGCGTCATGTTTTTCGTGTTGATGCCGTTCACTTCCAGGATCTGGTCCCCAACCTGGACAAAAAAAGTGGTCGCATTTATTTTCTCCAGTCGTTCCATTCCTTCGTAGGCGGCACGCTCTAACAGGAAAGCCTTCTACCGATGGGACTCCCAAATTTCTGCGCTTGGAAAACGTTCCTATCCCTCGATGAACAGTTCACTCCACTTCAAGGAGTACAATAATAATAACACCTAATCACTATGTCCTCTGCTCTTCAATATAAAGGCAACAATGAATTCAGGCCAGTATTCACAAAACTTCTCTTCATACCGATGTCACAAGGGCACTTTTGATCATGATCAGGGCCGACGCAGAGCGGTGCATGTCTCTGAGGGAGGTTCAACAGTAGACATTCACGCTAAGGCTAGAACTGTACAGAGCACAGGCCACTGATGCCCCTGCGCCTACACGTACGCTCTAGAGTGTAACACAGAGTAGATAGCAACCCTCACCTGCAGTTTTCCCGAGAGCTGGGCCGGTCCCTGGTCAGCAATCCTCAGCACGAAAAGGGGCATGCTGTGAAACTCCCGGCCCCCGCGGATGCTAAATCCAAAGCCCCGCACCCCCCGCTGCAGCTCCACGCTGTGGTACTCCCCCCCAGTGCCATCGATGGCACCCCCGCCGCCGCTGCCAGGGGGCTCTGGGCCACGGTTGCCCCCCACCTCCTCCCCCTACACACACAAGCAAAGCATACGGGATACTGCATGAACATTTACCACTGGGGGCTAACAGGTGCATTCACAAACATGGACAGCGTAAAATTTTTATAGCACCATGTTTCTTCACATATAACCTGCACAAAAAAAATACAGAAAACTTGCAGCTCACGTCAAGACGAAAAACATGAATAGATCGTATATCCTTCAAGTATAGACAAGGTCCTAGTCGGACATGCTGGGACTTGTCTTTTACTCATGTTTACATAATGAGAGCTGAGCATGCGTTTTCGGTACCATAGAACAAGCAAACTGCTCTTGAACATAGTGTTTGCTGTAACTGACTAGTTGCCATTTCTTGGGCTAACTGCATAACAAAACAACTAGCGTTAAAGGCCAACTCTGGCGATCTTTCGAGGTCAATGGAACTTAATGAAATTCACTGGGTGTGTTCATTTGCACGTTTGCACCATGCCAAATTGCAGGCTTGACAGTTTCGCAGGCTGTTTTTAAATGAATTTTAAAGCTTGATAGCTTGCGTCCAAACGCTCACCTCGCTTGCCAGAATTAATGGCAACATTGTGTGTGTGACGTTGATTTTTGTCTGGGGGAAGTGACGAAACTGATGTGCTACTGCAGCGTCTGTTTGCCTGCTATGGATTGTATGGGTTTGGCACGCACTTCCTTGGTTGAGCATGCGATTTCCTTTTCTGCGTTGGTGGGTGTGCCATAGGTGGCATGTGATGTTGCGTTGTGGGCTGCACACGATTCACCATATGTTCGCCATAACAGCCTGAGAGTTTTAGCCGATCGCCGCGAACAGCGTGGACAGGTAGTGCCACCAGGCGGACATTATGCGCAACAAGGCAGGTTCGGGCAAAGGATTACGTCACATGTAGAAGCGCAGTTGGTTGGGTTTCAGTTTTGGTATTGCGGTTTTTCGCAAATTAAAAATTATTTTCAAATTTGTTGAGCATTTCAGCTATCGGGCACAAAACAAGAGTGTCTCAGAAACATAAAAGAACGATTATCCTGACGTGGTTGAAAAATCGCCGGAGTTGGCCTTTAAAATTATGAAGAAATCTATGCAAGAGTACAAGGTGGCTTCGTGGCAGTGCCTTGCGACTATGCAAGGAAACCAGTGTAGCATCAATACATTTGGATAATTTTTAGATCTTCCACGAATTGTTCAAGGATAGGTTGTATGTGAGAAAATACATATTTCTGCACAATGTAGTCAATTCGTCAGGTCAGGTGAAATCACCGTTAAAAAAGGAAAACAGGGCACCAAACAAGGTCAAATTATATGACATCTTAAGATCGCTAGAGTGCTATTATTTCGCAGTGATGACTTACTATAGATTCTTTGCCATTCTTGGCATCTACTATTCCAGCCAGCTGATCCCAATCAAAACGAGGGTGGGCTGTCATAAAGAACGAGAGGCACTGTTTCGAAATATTGGCCCTGGCACCTCATTCACAGCTGCCAGTCTGATACGCAAGGAGTTCCTAAAAGTTTTTTTTTTTTTTTTTTTTTTTCAGTGTTCTTGAGAGTGTGACCCAAACTTCAAAAGTACACAAGACTGAAGGTGCCAGATCGGTTTGTGATTGTGAAGACTGAAGGTGATATATCATACATACTCCCAAGTCTAAAGCGGTGTCTAAACTCTGCCTCCATCAACTGTTTGTGGTAGCTTACTACTGATCAATGATTCACGTCTCTTTGGGTGCCACTTCAAAAACTACAAAATCAATTGCACTCTGTTTTAATTTCGTTTCTTCTTTCTTTGTCACACTTTTTCCAATGCGAATACACGAGTTGGAGAGACAAGCAGCACGACACACTTTAAATGAAGACGCAAGAACACATCAATGATGACCAAATAAAGATGTCTCACCGAAGCCGTGCAAAACGAGAAAAATGAGAAAGGGGAAGGAAAGATGCAGAAATGAAAATACCACTCAGAGATAGAAAAGCAGAAATGGGTCAAACCAGTGCTCAGTGCTCACCTGACAACGTTACTGACTTTGTCATGCAAGAGCTTGTATTGGCAAGCAAAATTGAACTAATGGCTCTGGTTAAAATAGAGACGACAGCTGCACATGCTGGGACTTGTCTTGCATTTGCGGTTCCATGATAAGTTCTGTCTGCCAGTTTCATGGTTACGCTAGCATACCATGCACACTAAAAGAAAGGACGAACACTACTGCAGTTGTGTCTGCACAACTTTATGCTGGCCAAACAAGTCAAAATATAATAATAATAATAATAATAATAATAATAATAATAATAATAATAATAATAATAATAATAATAGGAGCCGGGGTTTGCCATGCAGAAACCACAACATGATTTCTTTTGTATACAGACAACATCAACAGATAGAACACTTCTATTGGCAGATACATCGATACGCAATTTTGGGTGAGAATGCATACTTTGATAATTTTTTTTGTTATCTTTGCCATCACCAAAATGCTGCTGTCGTGGCCAGGAATCGAACCCGTGCCCCTCAAGGTGAGCGGCATGAAGTCGAGATGCAGCCGAAGTTGTTTTCTCGAAGTTATTCCAACTGTGTTCACACACTGTGACTGCTAGCTTGGTGCTTCCAGATTGCGGTGGCTTTACAGTTACGAAATAGGCCCAATGAAAATTTTATGCAGAGGTGAATGAACCTGAATTGTGAGCAAGTGCTAACACGTGAGCAAGTGCTAGCAAAAGAAAAAAAAAGAGAGCGAGAGAAAGAGAAAGTGGCAGCAGCAGACCTTGCTAGAACATGGTCCAGACCATGAGGAGGAGGAGGAGGAAGTGTCTGGAACCAGAAAGGAGGCGCGGCTGCTGGCAAGTTGGGCACCGAAGTGCACGAGCTCTGCAGTGATGGCAGCGGCAGTTAAGGTGACAGGACAAGAAGTTGCAGCTTTGTCAAGAAAGGGTCAAAGTGGCGGACAAGGATAAAAGATGGCAGCAGCAGAAAAAAGGGGAAAAAAAAGGGGGCATAGACAAAGGCAAAACATTGCAAACTTTCAAAACATGATGTGCACAGTGCTTATAAAATGAAATGCAGCAATCTAGGGCCAAGTAATGTGCGTACTTCCATTTCCCGAGTTTTCAGTTTGCGTCAGATTGGCACAATGTTGGCTCGTAAGCTTGCACCACAGCCAACACAACCTCTAGTAGTTACATTGGTAGTGACAGGACGTGGTTATCTCAAGTAAATGTGTCTACCAGTTGCTATGCTTGAAGTCGAAATTATTCTGTCGACACTACGCACCTTTGCAATGCCAGAACAGAGGGCATAATGCACAGATCATGAGTAACAGCACAAGGTCGGTCTTTTGAATACAATGCGATAATGCAGTTTTTATTGCCCTTTCCGCCTTCTACGGAGAGCCTACACACATTTATGCTGTCATCTTTTTCGCAGTATGTACACGGCAATATAATGACAGAATTGCTGCTTGCACTAGGTCACTAGAATTCGTCCGTACCAAAAATGGTCGTACCCTGTGCCTATGACCAGTGCACGTATTGTATGATGGCCACGCGCAAATTTGTGATAATTAATTTGTTATTAAACTTCATTAATTTAGAGATGCCATACGGTTGATTGATATTTGCAGTAATACTAGTAATAAAACGACCTCAAGGCCAAAAAGTCCTGATTCAACGGGGTGCAAGTTATCGGTGACGACTGCTACAGCTCGGAAAAATATCCCATTACAGTCGAGCCCGCTTATAACAAACCTGAGCTTGACGCGGCATCCGTTCGCTGTATCCCGAAGTTCGTACAAAATGAAACACAGCTTTTAAAAAAAGTTGCGAGTGAAAACACAACTTTTTTTTGCCCCAGAATGTCCGTGATGCATGTGTTTCGAAGAGCAGAAACGATAAGGGCGGTCTCGAGTTCATTTAAAATGGCAGGCTGCTCGTTGGCCGAGGCCCGTGGCATAAGCTGCATGAGGCGCTGGCTCCAAAGCTTCGTCGTTCTCGCAATCAGATTCCTCCAAAGCACTCTCGCCACAAACTTCATTCAAATGCCCCAATCCATGCACGGTTCCGCAGTGTCGGCATTATCATCGGCCATAATTAAATCATCGCAACAGATATCCCACCCGCTCCACAAATCGCCGCCGCAGTGGTCCTGTTCGGAAGCTTCTGGCTCGGCATCAGGCCTGACGATCGACGAATTCGGCCTCGCGAAAATAGTTTCGCGCACATGTAGCCGTCACCGCCACCCACGAAATATTCACTATTTCCACAGCTGAATACCGGGACGCCCGAAGCGGCAAGGCAAGTTGGCTGCCAGGTGGTCAATAGCTATGAGCAAGCGCTCCGCAATGCAGCACCTAAAACGCGGATTACGCTCATGCCAAGCGGTCACTCTTTCGACGTTTTGTTGAGCGGCGCGAAAAAGCATGCTAGTCCTCCTGTCGGCCATCATGACCACACACGCACACCAAGAGCGAGCAAGACGCGCACACGCGACACACATGCCAGAGTGCGTGGAACAGCTCTATGCCCGTTTCCAGTCAGAAAACAAAACTAATTCGAGCCAGCGTGGCGGGCGTCACGGAGTGGTGGAGACGGGCAAAGGGATTGTGATCAAGAGAGGAGAGCAGACTTGCGAGAAAAGGGCAAGGAGTTGCGATAAAGCACGGAGGAATGAAAGATTCCTTCCTCCGTGCGATAAGGAGAGGGGAGAATGCGGCGGGAGGGTGACCTTGAAAACCAAAACACACGGGAAGGAGGCAGGTTGGGTAGCTTGCTTGAAAGGTCTGCGAAACTCTCACGTAGAAAAACTTGGAAAGAGTGCCAGCGCGCGCAGAAGTCAAAGCATGGCCGCCTCGTTCGGTGTGCGCGGCGGCGTTCGAAGAATCGGTGGCCGTGATCAAAAAATCGTTTTGTTGCACCGGCGGGTTCGCGTGGCCTCACGAACTGCGATATTTCGCGATTCGTTCCGCGCAAATGAACAGCCGTTCTCGCGCTTGCGCACACGCGCAGAAGGCATGCTGAGCCGAGTGCGAAGTAAGCTATAACAAGGCCTAAACACGAAACGAATCGCAAATTATCAGAGTCGGTGGGGTAGTGTACGCGCGTGCACTAGACGCAGACTATCAGATACAGTCGGTGGGCAACGATTTGGCAAATAGTCTGGTCACTCCAGGCCAGCGACGTCGACAGTACCAGCGATCAAAAACAGGGTAGATGGTCGCCCGGTCTTCGAAAGATCGGTGGCAGTGTGAAAACACGGGCCTCGCCTGGCGATGCGGGGTGCTCAGAGTAGCGGAGTTGCGTAACAAAAAGCGGTCGGGGAGAGCAGCAACTAGAGGGGCGCGGAGGCAGAATTGGCGTTTAACAATAAGAATGTATAAGCACCTCGCTGATACCTGATTGGTAGTCGAAATTGGTTTCCCGGGAAATCAGCGGACCGCTGACTCCGTTCACTATAACCGATCAGCGGTGCTTGGAGACGTTCGTTGTAAGTGCGATTTTGTGGCATTGAACCAATGTATATTTTGACGGTCACGCGGATATTGTTCGCTTTAAGCGAAAGTTCGTTTTAAGTGGGGCCGTTATATGTGGGCTCGACTGTATTGTCCACGCCGCTTTACCCACGCATGTGTGCTGCTTTTAAAATGGCTACTACAAATCCAGAAAGACATGGCTTCTTCAAATTTGAAGAAGTATGATAGCTAGGAAAAAGAAAGAATAAGAAACGATGTGCTGTCAAAAAAAAATGATTTAATTTTTTTTTTTTTTTACCGTTGTATGTGACAGCCCGTCTTCAGTGCTGTAGCGCAATTGCATTGTCGTCTCCCTTATGTCCCTATGCCAATTAGCAAAATAAAAAAGGACTTCGACTCGTTTCAATTAAACCTAAAAATGGAATACGAAAAAAAAAACCTATAATCGACTGTAAATCCGAAGTCTACCACAAGTCCACTCATATTATCTGGTCACAAACAAAAAGCATCAGTTGCCCATAAATGTTCACACTAACTAGCGTTCATTCAATTACATAGCAAACTTTTGCATTATAAACAAAGATCTGAAAGCAGTGCCTATGCTCCGATTCACTTCCGAGTTGCGGCAGGAAAGACCGAAGCAATGATTGGCACAATGCGTGGGAACTTACCCTTTGGGAGACAGATGCGTTGCTTGAGGTATCATCTGCAAAGTGACAAGAGTTGACGATTTAAAAAACGCGAAATGCCTGCAAGCAGGCGGCACTGCGGGTTTAGCTCGCTTAACAAGGACTAAAGCAGTTTGCCGCAAAGCTGTACACAGTCCTGTGTAGAAACGGAAGTCAATTACGCGTTAGTATTGGCAAATGTCCGAAACCATTAAAACAGGAACATCTCTGATACAGGTGTCACTGCAAAGAACTTTCGGCAAAGTACATACAAATAAATAGGACGCAAAAGATGGAAATGATAACTAGTATTACATAAATCAACACAGTGTTCATGTGTCTATGTTCTTGTGACTGTTGCACTTGTAATACAGCAAGTTACAGTAGCTAATTACACAACAGCAGCCGGTGCCTTTTGCTAATTATCGTAAGCATTGCATTTGCTCTCGTACCCAAATAAACACGCATGTGAAAAGGAATATTTTTTGCAGATTATCAACAGTTATATTATAGAAAAGATCAATGAAATAGATGCAGATATTTGGTATATTTTCATATGGCAAACTTTCTCCCATTTTTTACTTTGTTCCTAAAATCCTTTGATTCCCGTAAGCTGCACATCGCATGGTATAAACTCGCTGGCTTTTCTAAAAACACAAGGCAAGCGAACAAAAAAAAGCAGTATTAAGCTATCTATCCTATTGATGAGCACAGTCACATCAGATTATACATCAAAATGACCGATTATGGCTACGTAGATCATAAAAAATTGGTCCCACATGGAACCAATGATGACTATACTTCTCATAGTAGTTTTTTCTTGATGATTGATGGCTACGATTGTCCATGTTGTGCCATTTGTGCCTCAGCTATCATTTTATTGCTATCTTTTGTCGTATTGTCACATAATAAAGCTATCATTAGGCTATCTTTTTACTTATTTAGTGATTTACAGGAACTCTATTAAACTAAAATACTAGCATTTTATTAAAAAAAAAGCTCTCTACCTACAAATAAAACAAAAAAAAAATTCAGGTAAATTTGGTACTATTTGCTCTGTTTTTCATGGTAGGAAAAGGGGTTAACACCAAAAAACAAAGGGAATGCGGCACGCACCTAATGGTGGTCCTATAGTGAGGACAACGGACAGTCCGGAGACCTTGATGAGGTTGACAATTTCACCGTGGTGCATGTCAAGGATGCTGATGCCATTGACAGCCAAGATTCGATCACCTACGTGCAGCTGACCGCAACGTTCCGCGGGGCTGTTTTCAATGATGCGGCCTGGAGATAGGGTTGTTTTGTAGACATTTATGAGCATACCCATTTTCTTATAGCGCTGAAAGAGCTCGCTGAAACGTAAACACATCTCACAACACAACCTTGAGGATATACTTCTCGAAGCTGATTTTAAGCTAAAAGAACACAAGTTCGTTACCGTTTGGCTTGAAATGTGCTTGGTGCTCGTGTTTTTCATTCCGACTGATTCAACATCAATTATAAAGAACCACATAGGTCTTTGATCTGAACATGTACCATGAAGTGAATGCAATAGATTCTTAGTAAAGGGAAATCTTTGAAACGAAATTGCAACTTAGAGGACCCCTAACAGTGAAAGTTTTGTTTGCGACCTTTAGTACTGTAATTTGTAACTTTGTGTATGGTAATACTGAAACTGAATCATAAATGCTCCAACACGCTTTATAATTAGTACTAGCATCATTAGTTCAGAACTATTTTGCATCAGTTCAGAGTGCCCACATAAATACCTTAACAAACCAGCACCCCCCAGCAGGGAAGCACCTGAGGCTACCTGCACTCAAATTTCAGTGACGCTGAGTGCACCATTTTATATCGGGAGACAGAGCGAGAAGGGTGCCAAACAATAGCCCTTGTCGGGTGCCAGTCGGGGTTTTGTGCGCGCCTCGCAAATCTTCTCTGACATCAGCAATAGCCACCTTACTCGTGGAACGTCATGCAAAGCCTCTGTCTATGTCAATCCAGAGAAGATGTCAATCGGTGCTTATAGCTTAGATGAGCACACACCCTTACTTTAAAACCAAATTAAAATATCTTAGAGGCAACGCTAGTCACTAATAAATGGTCAGAAATGCCCCCGCATGCAGCACTCTCAAACAAAACAAGCATCATGAGTTTCCAGATTTGGTATCAAGGGTCCTTGATACCAAATCTATAAGGCGACTGTCTCTTATATGAGTCGTTTTATTTCTGACTACTGCAACCCTGTTCCTCTTTCAATAAACAAAACAACTTTTACGCAACATATTTTCTTGGTTTCTTCAGGTTTCGTATAATGAGTCTACTTAGATTACTCAGGCCTCGTTAATTGGCCAATGTCACAGTACAACCTGTCATGCAAATAATGTTTACATCTTTAAATGACCTGGATGCTACAACAGAACTGCACTGATAAGTACCTGTTATCCCTCAGAAAAAAAAAAAAGAAGCCTAGTGTAAGTAACGTTCGTGAGTGCACATTTGTGATTTGGCTTTCATTTTAAGAAATTTCATAGATAAAAACAATGCAAGGAATGTGCATTGTACTACTGAGATGTGAATGTGCTGAACCGAGAAAATAACGAAATAAATTTGCATTGAGACACAAACCTATTGTGGATCCCGCTTTCCCGACTGATGAGATGATGACAAAGCCAAAGCCCTCGTTCTCGTGACGCATCACTGTCACGTTATAGGGATACGTGACTTCGCAATTGTTTAACCGATGAGGAGAGTCCACTGAAAAAAAAAAAGAAAAAAAAAAGGACCGCTGATATTTACAATGGTGCCATTTACTACAAATTTATAGCAGTATGAAGTGATTTCAATAAATTAATGTGATTAACCTGCCACTGAATGCCCAACTTCAGTATCTTTGAACATCTAATAATCACAACACTACACAGACTATTACAATACCATGGGAATGAGCAATGAGGCCTTTAAAGCAGCATGAGAGTTTTAAAAAATGACTTGCAATAACCCTCATCCCCAGCTAAGGGCACATTATGATCCATACAAACTGTAAAGGGGCTCTTGCATTCATCAGGCGGACACCAATAAAGGTATACACATCTGCTTTTTAATGTTGCTGCACTGCAGGAAATTTGGGAAGTATGAAAGGGGCAACCTATTTTTCTATATTTCTGTATAGAGCTGGGCCGCCTTCTTTGTTTCTCTTTAGTTTGCTCTTTCTCCCTCTTCGTTTTTATTACTTTATCTTTTTATCTTTATTTCTTTCCTATCATTGTCTCTGTTTCTTGCTTGCTTCTTCTCTCTTTCTACATTGTGATACGCTGTGATTGCAACAGTGAAGTACTGGCGCAAAATAAAAAAAAAATTGAACTTTGAGCTCCATTTCTTCTTGTATTAATCAACCTATCTCGGCAAAATTAATGGCAATAGATCAACGATGGAATAACTTCGCGGTCTCAGCTGATTCAGTGTTGTACTTCAGTGTACCTTACAGCAGACCTGATATTCTTCACACCGAACCTAAACACAAACGAGGCAACAACAGTGCTGCCAAAGTTCAAGCAATGCACGCTGAGCACTAATAACAGTGATCAAAGTTGTTGGCTATTGGCAATTTCATCGTCGGTGAAACACGACTGATAGAAAACTCCAGCATTATCACTGATGCTTGCATTGCCTCTAAAATGAGATTGCTAGTGTCATGTGTGTAATCGTATTGAAGTAGTCTACAAATAATAACTTCTGCATTCATTGTAGTGCGGCCTGTGACAACCTTTCATAGCGCCCTTCATGGGTGAAACACAAAAGTAAATTAATACTAAGCAAGTGCAGGCAGTAAAAATTGGCTCCGTATATGCACGTTTCACTTCAAATGCCATTGAAAGACGATAGTTTTGTTTCTGGAAGCAGTGAATAAAACATTTATTTGATGCCCTGAGCGAGAAAATCGGTGAATAGGATTCTGGAGGCGCTGCATGAGACATGTGCGCCATCTGGCAGTAATCTTGGAAAATGAAAGGATGGCCTCCGATATAGCGAGCACGCGGCGTGTGCACGCAATCTCGGAGGCCATAATTTGTAGAGTGCAAGGCAACGGGTAGTTGTGCCATTACCGTATCGTCTTGGCAAAGCGTGGAAAATACCCGCCTTTTGGTGAATGGCATTGCAATGTCAGCGCAGCATAATAAATGCTACGTTCCTTAGAATGACTTATGTATGCCTTTTACAGTATAAATAAAGATGCCACAGATGTTGACGTGTTGAGGTTGTGCCTCAGATGCCTGCAATATTTCTTATTATTTGACAACACGCGCAAGTATGAACGCCAAAACCAGATTAATATTGGTGGGCACTGCAGATATGGTTAGATTTCAGCCGTTTCGGGTGACACACAGACATGTCGACCGACAGACAAAGAAAAACTTCCATCTTTAATAGCAATCTCCTCACCTAATGAGCGTGCTTTCCGCCTGAGGCCCAATGTGACGCATCCGTTCAGAGCTGCGGCCCCCATCAGCTGGACCACGTGGTGGTGGGATGCGTGCAGGACGTTCTGGCCATCCACAAAGACAATCTCGTCGCCTGTCATCAGCCGACCGTCTAGGTCCGCAGCTCCACCAGGCACTATGTGACCGATGGAGACCTGCGCCCCGTGCGGCAAGTGCACAAGCTAGGCTTGCTTCATTTGCAGTTCCATGTTTACAAAGCCAACACCATCTCAAATAAAAAATATTTGAAGATTAGCTACATACACAACCCAGACTGTTTAGAAATGTAAATTGGAGGCCTAGCAAACATCTGTATGATATGCGGCACTGTACTGCTACAAATAGAACAGCAATCTTCAAAAACCTGCCCACACTCAAAAAACGAAAAATCACAGAGCAAGCAAGCACTCATTTCTGACATCAAGGTATGCAACATCATGGATTTGAGACTTTGAAAATGTAATGACCACGATGTAAGAAAAGTAGTTTAGATGTGGACACTCTCTGCCTGCCGCGACAAAGACTGCGTCCAGATAATGTTCAGCTTTAGTATATGCACCGGCCGCAGTATCGTGGCACTACAGGGAAGGGGCGCTGTGACATGGAGGCCTAAAGGGAGTGAGCGCGAGAAAGCTTACGCTCATTCTTCCTTTTATTCCTCCTTTGATTTCTTTTAAAGCACCGTGGACGCTAGTAACTAAAGCTGGAACCGCAAGCCACATTTTTTGCGACCGAAAAACGCTACGTGCGGCGAACACTGCAGTTGCCTCCACGGTATTCTCCCATACGCGCCATTACAGACGCTAATACGCCGCTCATCATTTATAGTACATATGCCAACCGCAGTCATGTGGGGTGCGCTACAACGTGAGAGCTGAAGTAACAGAAAGCGCCGAACGTTATCTGGACGTGTGGCGAAGTGCCCACAAAGAGTTTACAAAAAATCCAGGGTTTTCAAGGACTTTTGAGGCTATGTATGTTAGTTTTCAGTGACCACATTATCTGTTAGAAACCTAATTAGACATCTTTAGAGAAAGGGGGGGGGGAGGCTTGACACAACTAGAATTTATCAAAAAAGGGGTAACCGCTGGAGCAGACATCAAAACATGGCTCCAATAACATTTTCTTTCTGGACAACGTTCAAACATAGTTTCATAGAGTAGCATAAATAATTGTTTTCAGTACGACACTAGACACAACCTTTTATTCAGATAGGAAAAACTAAGGGAAAGATATACCACGCCTTGTTGCTTTTCCTGAATTTTCATATCAATGTCCACTATTTCCGGCTGCTTTGTCTTGGCAGTCTTCCTAAAGGTGTTTGACTTGATGATGCACATCAGGTCACTAGTTGCTTCTGTCTTTTCTGCATGTGAGTCTGCTGTAGTCGTTAATTCCTCATCGGCGACTTCTACTTTCCTTTTCTTTTTTGTAAGCATTTCAACCTCTTCAATGCAACATTTCTTTTTCTAATCCTCCTGCTCCTGCTTTTCCCGAGTTTCCGAAAATGCAAGGTTGTCTGCGGCAGCAAAGCCACTCATAGTGCTCGGCTGCAGACCCAATGGTTGCGGGTTGGGTCCCGGCAGCAGCGGTAGCATTTCGATGGAAGCCAAACGGTAGAGTCCCGTGCAGCGTGAGATGCCAGTGCACATTAGAGAACATCAGCTGGTCAACATTTCCCGAGCCGTCCATTACCTGTCTCTCATAATCATACGTTGGTTTTGGAACATAAAACTCCCGATAACATTAAAAATGCACGGTGTTGGTTCCTCACAGAAGCTACTGATTTTCTGATTTCATTTATTATGGTTATATTACATATGCCTACTGCTGCATTTATGGCGTTACAAATAATGCGCTTTGAAATGTGTCACAATGTTTATCGAAGATATAGGAAAAGAAAATTCAAGGATTTTCAAGGACTTGCCGAAATTCCAGCACTTTCAAGTGCCTTGATAAAAACAATTTTCAAATTCAAGGGTTTCAAAGACCCGCATGAACCTTGCAACACCTAAATTATTTTTCTTACACTGTGATATTGCCCAAAGACTGGCGCTCAAAGATACACAGTCACAGAAAAAAAAAATTGAGAGCAAGTCATTTGATACCTTCGACACATCAACCAAATAAATATGCAAGTATTGTGAAGCCCCCAATCCTTGCTAACTGCAACTGGAAAGTGATTTCGTTTGTGATTGCCACCATCTTTCCATATACCAGTGTCTAGATTACAAAAGTTATTGTGAGAAATGAAAATCATGTGACGCATCTCAGGCCTAATTCATTATTCTCAAATCTGGCGGTTTGCAATATGCTCATCCAAGTAACATGAAAATTCCGATACAACGTAACCCTCTTTCAAGGTTGCATTCCAAAAGAATATCAGCAGTTGGGGAAGCCAAGCTCACCTGAGAGCCTTCCTCCGTGCCTCCGACGATGCGGAAGCCAAACCCGCTTTCCTGCCGATGAAGTGTCACCACTAGGTCAACTGCGTCGGTCGCGTGGGTGTCAACACCTGGACGCATCGTCGCCGACGTCACCGGCTGCTCGTGCTCGAAGGAGGTCGAGTGCTTGCGGCCCGACAGGTTATCCTGCGGAGTAGGCCAACCACATACAGGAACTGATACAGTGCTTACCTTCCTAAGAGATCAGTAGAGCAGCCTGAATAGCAAAATTTTGGGTGCAAAGCAAGTTCGAATATTGAAATGTGAGAGCGAACCGAATCGAATATCTTTCTCATATTTCTAAAGTATTTCTACAATATTTTTTAATACTTCAAAGCGAAACTGCAGAAAGAAAGAGTTTGAAAGGATTCCTGAGCGTATCCTTATGAGATAGCTCCATTTAGTGGTGGCTGTGACATGAGGGTACACATTCCCAGTTAACATCGAGTCAAATAACTCATGTTTCGGCGCCAGCATCAGAATGTAAGGTCACGCATTCGTATTCAGGCAACAAGAAACATGACAACATGAAACGAAAAGTGACCTCAATAAAACATCAGGATGCCATATCAGAAACGGCTGGTCGCTGACAAGCTCACGAGCGAGAGAGCATCAGTTGTTAGAAAACAGCGCGTACAATTACTTATATGACCAGCGCACCTTCAAGGGCCGTATTCAGAGCCGGGTTTATTGCGTACGGCAACACCCCCACCGAAATCTATAATTAATAATATATATAATAACAAGCTTCGCTCGAAAAAGCCTCAGCCTGCTTCCCTCCACTATTCACAGCTTCAATTCTCAATTTTCCCATGAGTTTCTGTATCACCTTGATTACTTTACTCTATAAAGAAAATATATCCAGCCAAAAAATAAACCTGCACAGGAAACAAAAAAGACAAGGAAAGCGGCTAGACAACCAGATCTTAGTAGTTTAGCCATTTCTGTCTTCATTGTTTTCTTTGTACGTTCATTTTTAGGCTGGATTTATTTTGTTGATGAAATGCACCAACTAACCCAAAAACAAGTGTTATTACTTTACTCCACTTCATGCTCAGTGGTTAATGATGCAAAGGCTCCACAATTCTTGCAGCCATAGAAGTGCATTTTCCACGAAAGTGCTCTGCACTTTATTGCAGTGCTGTTGTTTTCTACTCGCAACGCTCTTCTGTTTTCTGCTTCACGGTCCCGGGATCAAATTATGCTGTCAATCAGCTTCACGATGAACCTGACTATGCATACCTGTGTGAAGCTCGACGATTCCAGAGCTGAAGAGCCGTAGAGACCGTAGTAGGGGCTGCCACCGCTCAGGTGACTGCTGTTCAGCTGCTGCGTGAGCGATGACAGCGGTGAGCGTAGCCCCGGCAACTGGTGGCTTGGCAGCCGCGTGTAGCCATAGTCAGGAGAGCTGTAGCTCCAGCCCCTGCCCTGTGGAAGGCCGTCTGTTGCTGGCAGGCTCGACCAATCTTTCTGCGTTGGCGTCAACAGTGCCGGCCGCTCCTCGACAATTGGGCTACTCAGCTGTGACCTGGTGGCAATAAAAGATAAAGCATGAGAAAGAAATATGGTGCTGTGCAAACTTCACGAAAGGCAGAACAAAGAAGTTAAACCTGACTGTTAACGGAGCAGTAACATCAACTTGACGCATGTCTTGTTTTTTGCATCGTGTAGTTGTCGATCCCTTGATGATGATTCCGTACTAATAATGTACTAGAGCAACGATTCAACAAGTGTAAGACCAATCAGATAACCAGTATCGAACCCAATTTGAAAACGGGTGCAAAGCCTGTCAATTGTCAGTGTTGCCAGCGCTACCAAGCGGTCACCTCGCGTCGTCCCGCCCCATCTGATCATGTGGCCATACGAAATGGTGACGCGATTTTCAGTTGACATTTCGTCTGCTTGGCGCGCACATGTACAGGCATGTCTTCGCCGCCCCCATTGTCATTGCCACCTTTATCAGCGTCCACAAGTGACAATCAAAACACCGTGGAATATATGGAATTGCGGCGATTCGTGCCGTGGCGAATCATTGTTGGTTCCCTCCTGCTCTGAGCAGTGATTTTGAAATCGACACAAAAACGAGCAGCGAGGCAGCTGGAGATGCCCGCTTGGGCCAGGCTGGTTGCTAAAACATATAGACGCTGCGTGCATGCTACCTGTTCGTGATGAACTTAGCTTCAAATAATCACATTCGCGCTCACGAACCGAAGACAAACCACTCGTAGCAGCACAATGAAAATGCAGGATTCACACAAATGCACTGCACAGACCAAGCAAAACAAAGCAAGCAAAGCCATTGTTAGGCAGCCAGGCGTCGCCGTCAGACAGTACCACATGTAGACACCGCGATGAAAACACTAAAATTGTCGACGTCATCGCTGTTCGCTCATCATCACTTGGCACCTAAGGCGTGGCCTAGGAGCTTGCTGGACTCGTCAAAATACTGTTGATGTCTCATGGCGAAGACCCGATGAGCCTTGAACGCTCTATGCTAAGAAATAGAATAACTTCTAAGTAACAGACACGATTTCGCGTAACGTATACGAAAAAAAAACTCATGCATACCAAGCGATTGAATGAATGCCACATTCCGTGTTTGAAACTTGGTGTCATTGCTCCTTAGACATGCCAGAGCTTGCAGAATTATGAAATTAACGAAAAAATTCGCATCCATACGTTTATAGCACAAAGCTACAAGGAACCCTATACAAACTGTTCATAAAGAGACTCCCTGGTTGATTAAAAATTCATCCTGGAACTTCATAGCTTGGTGGTCCAGACAGGTGATGCCGATTCTACTTTTAATAACCCTTCCTCTAACACACACAATTCCAGAGAGCTGACATACAAGAATACCAGAACGTCAGAGAGATGTTTCCAGTAGCACGGGTGGCACCCCCTTGTAAAAAAATGCCAACTACCCTCCTAGAGGTCATTTTTACTCTCTGGTGGTTAATCTTGTTCCATTACAACAGTTGCCATCTGGATGAACTCCTTTTCCAGTATAATGCTATATGCCTGGTACTTTAACAAATGACATCCATGTATCAGCATGACATAGCGTTCATGAAATGAAAGCATCGGGCATGACTTGCACATAAAAAAAATGAAAAGAAAAGGGGAATGCCTGATACAGACGTTTATGCTTGTAGCAGAGTCAGTATGCTCTTTTAAAATCTACGTGCAGCTAAGAATACTTGTGCCTTCCTTCGTCTTTCGCTCACTGCATGGACGTGGATGAGATGATGTCTACTCATTGCTACAATATTGACTTTTCAGATTTACTATAACTTTTTACCATAAAGTATGTCAGAGTAGACTCAATTTCCTGACCAATGAATTGTACACTGACAAAGCTCACTAGATTCTGAAGAATGTTACTTCGCCACACTTATCTTAGATGATGCTAAAGATAATAGGGAGCACAAAGGCCTAAATCATAGCTGGCATTCATACTAAGTGTGCACACAGCAGTTGGAGATTCAGGATGCTTTTTTTGAAGCCCAGATGTTAAAACACCCACGTCGGACTTTAGTGTGATATATTCAACAAGACAGCAGCAACAGCCACTGTCAAAAAAGCTGCATAAATTCACAAAGAAACCTTCCCTTTATCAAAAACAGGAACCCTCCCCCTATCGGGAGTCGAGGACAAGCAAAGCTTAGTGTGTGGCTGACAAGCCAGTTTTTTTTTCTTTCCCTCGCATTATGCAATGCTGATTGATATGAGGGGTTTAACGTCCCAAAACCACCATATGATTATGAGAGACGCCGTATTGGAGGGCTCCACAAATTTCGACCACCTGGGGCTTATTATGCTATGCTCCCTCCTGTTCCTTTCCTTCATGTCAGGAATCAAGACCACCATTCATGTGCCTACCAGCTCCACACTTCTGTTGCTACAGGCAAAAATGATGGCCATGCATTCATATTCAGGCAACAATAAAGTAAAGCAGTGCAAAACGACAAGTAGCCACTTCAGTAAAAGACTAAGTTGCCACATCAAAAGCGGCTGATCATGTACAAGCCCATGCTCGAGGGAGCGTCACTTATTGGAAAATGATAATACAAATACACAGGTGACTGGCGCACTTTCAAGAGCCGCGTTTCTGTACACTCACTGGTACCAGGTTTTTCGTGCACAGCACCACCACCAGATTCCATGAGTCATAACAAGTTTTGCTTGGAAAAATTACACCATCTACCGATAACATAAACCATGTGCAGACGCGAAGCAGCGTGTGCTAACGCTTACACTGGGGCTATTCGATTTTCCACTTATGGCTACCCGGAGACTGCCAGAGGCCAGAGCCACCCAGAGCCACCCAAAGCCACCGTTTTTTTTTTTTTTTTGGACTGCTCCCCCCCCCCCCCCCCCCCCCCCCCCCGAGGGCGCACTTCCAGTTGGTGTTCGTTTTTCTCAGGTTGGACGGTTCTGGCGACCCGCGGGAAGCCTGAAGGTCGCCAGACGCTTCCAGGACTATTTAGTCACGGAAGCTTTCTAGAAGGTTCTGGGCTAGCAGACGCCTAAAAGGTAGGATACGCACTTGTCGCCATCTTTGTGAGGACTCGACGGATTGCAATGTGGACACTTGAGGACTGCGCCTTCGCTTGTCATTACACGTGGCGTTATCTTCTAAAGACTGTACCACCTTGCGAGATGAGGCAATTACGAGTGGCGGCAAGTGCTTGAAGCTACTGTTCATCGCTATTGTTATGTTTCCCATGAAGCTTCCTCCTGTGAACAACGCGGCGAACTGTTGCTAGCTAACTGCGTCATGCACATGTCTCAAAGGTTATGTACTACACGTTCGTACGCACACATAAAGACAACTTTGAAGCTTTTTTTTTTTTTTGTAGTAGCCGTTTCTGGAGCCGTACTTGCTTTCTGTGCACTTAGTGAAGACGATTGTGGTCGAACTAGGTCGCTCCTTCGTATGTTTGCGTGCGTGAACTTCTCAGAACTTGACTACGCGATAGATTTTTGATGGTGATAGAAGGCCCTAGATCGCGACTGTTGTCTTCAAGTGTGTGATGCTCGCTGGTCGCGAGCGGCACGCGAGCGCACATTGATCTATGAGCCAGCATATGTGGCCAGCATATGGGTCAGCATATACGCTACGACACGAGGAAAAAAAAAGAGATATGGATTCAGAAATGTATGCACCTTTCGTTGCCTATTTCATTGTCAGCTATGTCTTTTTTTCACCTCTTCGTAATAATGCCGTGCAGTATATACGCTTATGACCATGTAGGCAAAATCAAAGCTGATGTAGTACATATAAGTGCCGCTTAGGACTGAAAAACAGGCCCAGGAAAGTCCCAAAACTGGTCGAAAACGTGTCATAGAAAAGTTTATTTTAGATACAACGCGTACTTGTGGTACGCGTTGTTTAGACATGCGTTGTTGTACGCATGTCTAAACGTTAAAAAACGTAAGTTGGTCAACGTGTGTTTGCCACGAATACCACGCGATAGCTGAGCAGATACTGTATTTACTTGTGTAATGAACCCACTCGTATAATGAACCCACCCCCCACCTTGATCCTTGAAAGAAGAAAAAAAAACTGTTTTAATGTATCTGTTCATTTTGTTTCGGTGTGATAGCCAGTATATCGCAAAATAACAACGCAATGAAAGCCAAAGATAGTTTCGCAACCATGCTAAACAATTGCGAGCAGCGTGAGCACGGACGACGTCAATCAAAATTTGAAAGTCGCGCCTTGTACGGCAAAGCGCCATCTGTGTAACACAAAAGAAACCTCTTTTCTGATAGCGCCAAGCAAGCACAGCGGCACAAAAACAAAGCGCGTGGCGTCCAAACTGGCGTTCGCACTGCAACATGAGACACCGCAAGCTCGCCATCTTGGACCTATGCAAAGCGCAACCGCACCTACCGCACCGACGGCGTGTTGTGCACCTGCAACGTCTACCACAACGTTTGTGCGCCGCCATCCGACGCTGCATTTTTGTTGTTGGGTTTGTCGTTGTGAACTTACTTGTGACACCTGCTGCGCAGGGCGCGTTTGGCCGGTACTAACAGCATGCGCTGGACCATCGTAACCTAGCGATTGAACGACACTTCGTTGTCGATTTATGCAATTTTGTTACGACTTTTTTTCTCCCGCATAGTGAACCCTTCCCCTAGATTGGCGTCAACATTTCAAAAAAAAAAAAAAAAAAAAAAAAAAAAAAAAAAAAAAAAAAAAAGGTGGGTTCATTATGCTAGCAAATACGGTGTATATCCTCGAGCTTTTTTGGGGACACGATCCCTTTTGCGTGATTTCGCGTCGTGTTGTGCAGGGACTGTTACATATACTAAAAAGACGTGAGCTTTTTAAGCTGTCAGTGACGCGGCAACTCACCTTGCATCGTTCTCGAGGAGGCATGCGCCAGCTGGCAATTTTGTTTGCGGACGCGGCGAGTGATCCTACGAGCATACGAAGTCGTACCCCAAATGCGTACACTTGAAGATGTTGTTTCAGGTTTATGGCGAGCTTGCTACGTACAGTTAAACCACATATAACGGCCCCACTTAAAACAAACTTTCGCTTAAAACGAACAATATCCGCGTGACCGTGAAAATATACATTAGTTCAATGGCACAAAATCGCACTTACAACGAACGTCTCCGAGTGCCACTGATCGAATGAAGTCAGCGATCTGCCGACTTCCCGGGAAACCAATTTTGACCATTGATCAGGCATCGGCGAGGTGCCCATACATTTTTATTGTTAAACGCCGACCCTGCCTCCGAGCCCCTCTAGTTGCCGTTGCCGGTCTCCCCAACCGCTTTTGTTATGCACCCCTCAGTCCTTTGTCCCCCCCCCGCTACTCTGAGCATTCCGCATCTCCAGACGAGGCTCGTGTTTTTACACTGCCACCGATCCTTCGAAGACCGGTCGGCCATCTACCCCGATTTTGATCACTCGTACTGTCGACGTTGCTGGCCTGGAGTGACTAGACCATTTGCCAACATCGTTGGCCACCGACTGTATCCGATAGCCTGCGTCTAGTGCAGGCGCGTACGCTACCCCATCGACTCTGATAATTTGCGATTCGTTTCGTGTTTAGGTTCTTGTTTTCGCTCACTTCGCACTCAACTCAGCATGTCTTCAGCGTGCATGCGAAAGTGCGAAAATGGCTGTTAATTTGCGCGAAACGAATCGCAAAATATCGAAGTTCGTGAGGCCACGCAAACACCCGCCAGCACAATAAAACGATATTTTTACCTCGGCCGCTGATTCTTCGAAAACCGCCGCACGCACCGATTCAGGCGGCCATGCACTCTTTCGAAGTTTTTCTACGTGCGAGTTTCGCGGACCTTTAAAGCAAGCTACCCAACCTGCCTCCTTCCAGTGTGTTTTGGTTTTCAAGGTCGCCTTCCCACTGCATCGTCCCCTCTCTTTATCGCAACTCCTTGCCCTTCTCACGCAAGTCTGCTGTCTACTCTTGATCACAACCCCTTCGCTCGTCTCCACCGCTCTGCGACGCCCGCCACGCTGGCTCGAATTAGTTTCGTTTTCTGACTGGAAACAGGCCCAGAGCTGTTCCACACGTTCTGGCATGTGTGTCGCGTGTGCGCGTCTTGCTCGCTCTTGGTGTGCGTGTGTGGTCATGATGGCCGACGGGAGGACTATCACGCTTTTTCCAGCTGCTCAACAAAACGTCGAAAGTGTGACCGCTTGGCTTGAGCGTAATGCGCGCGTGAGGTGCTGCGTTGCGGAGCACTTGCTCATAGCTGTTGACCCCCTGACAGCCAACTTGCCGCTTCAGGCGTCCCGGTATTCGGCTGTGGAGATGGTGAATATTTCGTGGGTGGCGGTGAAGGCTACATGCACGTGAAACTGTTTTCGCGAGGCCGACTTCGTCGACGTCGGGCCCAATGTCGAGCCCGAAGCTTCCGAACAGGATTACTGCAGCGGCAATTTGTGGCAGTGCGTCGTCGACTCCGATCTGGGAGAGCGCGTGGCAAATCTGGGATCTGGGAGAGCGCGTGGCAAATGGGAGAGCGCGTGGCAAATTACGGCCGATGATGATGCCAACACTGCGGAACCGAGCACGGATTAGGGCATTGTGAATGAAGTAGGTAGCGAGAGCGATTTGGAGGAATCGGGTTGCGAGAACAACGAAACTTTGGAGTCAGTGCCTCATCCAGCTTATGCCACGGGCCTCGGCAAACGAATGCCCTGCCATTTCAATTGAACTCGAGACCGCCCTTATCGCTTCTGCTATTCGAAACACATGCATCACGGACTTTGTCGGGCATAAAAAGTTTGTGTTTTCACGAGCAACTTTATTTAAAAGCTGTGTTTCATTTACTACGAACTTCGGGATACAGCGAACGGATGCTGCATCACGCTCAGCTTCGTTATAGGTGGGCTGGACTGTATTCCAAGCTGACACTGCAGAAAAAAGCCAACGCGCAAGCGGCACATTGTTTCGGTTGCTGCCCCGACGGTGGAGTTTGTTTATGTTTACGCTGGCTGTGTTCCAATGTTAGATTTTGCGATCTTCATGCAGCTTCGGGTTGTCTCGGGTTCTCCGCACACGTGACCATGACGCTGTTTCTTGTCCAGACTGGAACTAGCTGACAGGCCCTCTGGCTAGCTCTGGCTTCTAGAGAGCTGCCAGAGGCCTGAAAATCGAAGAGCCCCACTGGCGGCGGCGTTGACGCGAGTGGTCATCGCGGCGTTGTGCAGGATAGAAACTCGGGGAGGCGCAAAGCACACAGTGATGGACCGGTATTTCCTACTGGAACATGCCAATCGTTGCTAATGGGCAATGACAGACAGAAGACTCTGATTAGACATGGAGACCCACAGTACACTTTTAGATAACGTGCACGCTGCGAATGTTTATTATTCAACAACACACAGGAGGAATCTTCTACCTGTACTACATTGAAGGTCAAGATCCAGTGCCTGCATCGGCATTGCAGGGCAAGAGAGGGAAGCATAGGAGAGAAGAGAGAGGACGAGCATGTGCTGTATGGGTGGTCACGCTGCACACCGGATTGAGCTCGACCATAAAAATTAAGAGGCTTCGCATATAAAGACAAACGTAAATAAGCTTGCACTCACGCAGGACTGTTTCCCTTGGCACCATACACAGACGTGGTGCCGTAATCGGCCTGCCCAGAAGAGTACCACCGGGATGATGGCTGTTGCTGCTGTTGCTGCTGGGACAGCCCCTGCGGTTGCTGGCTGGGATTCGCAGGCCGGATCGTAGTGTCCCGGAAGTTCTGGCCCGCCCACTCGGGCTGACGGGACGATGGTTCAAAGTACCACGCACCGTACTGGCCTGCAACGCATGCGAACGAGTTTAGATCTTGTTCACGATGGTAATACACCACAATCTGCATCTGTACGACCAAGGTGCGGAAAAGTTAGTGTAGCTCAAGAAAAAGATGGGTAGCTGCGCCCCGCCCCCTTCACCGTTTTGCGCGATTTGGCTGCGACATCACAGAATCTGATGGCACTAGCTAGAACCAACATATTTCTTTGTTGACAAAAGTGCACTACACTCAAACCTCATTCTAACGAAATCACACCTGCCACAAAGATACTTTGTTATAGTGAAAAATTCGTTATAAACATAAATTTGTAGCACTGCATCTATGACATGCTATCTTTCTTTTACATTGTTATAATCAATAATTCGTTACAACCAAGTTCGTTATATCAAGGTTTGAGTGTACTTTGTGCTCCAAGGAGCTTCGAATTTCTCATCATAAAAGTTTCAGGGAGGTAGTGATTATCGAGCCAATGTAATTAGAATTTAAAAAAAAGTAAAGAAAAGAAATTCACGACGCCACGCTAACACTCGCGTTATGGCGCGGAATTCAAAGAACTATAAATTGATATGTGAAGTTTGATGATACCGTATTTACTCGCATAATCCTCGCACTTTTTTTGGCAGAAAACCGATGCAAAGTTCGGGGGTGCGAGAATCACGTGAAAAAAACTTTCCACAAAAACGTACAGAGCGGAAGAGAAAACGAAGTGGCCGCGAATCGGGATTCTCACACCAGAACTAACAGCAAGCTTTGAGAAGTATTAATTATAACTTACTTCAACAATAAAAGCACAGGTTCAACACAAGGTGAGATTTATTTGAGACACAAAAAGTGCAAGCAAATAGTCGAGAATAGGGAGTTTTAGAATAGCGCACTACGAGTCCTTGAGGTGGGGTTGCTGCCCCTGCGCATGCGTCGTAACGCTAGTCTGCGTTCGCAGACCGCACGCAGAAAATCCAAAATTGCGTGCAGCGATCGCGGCCCGCATGTGGCCCGCAAGTGGCCCGCAAGCACTGGTTTCTAGGCTACTGTGTCGCGATCATGCGTTGCGGTTTGCAGCAGGACAAACACTATTCTAAATCTCAAATGGTGCCCACTACGCCCGCAGCGCTTGCAAACGGTATTCTAAAACTCCCTAATTAAAATACCATATGCAAAGCTCGTGGGCGTTGTGGGCGTAGTGGTAGCGTTCGTCCCTCAACAGGAGCTCTCAAAAGATGAGTGTAGGCCGTCGGTATTGGGCCGATGGCTATTTAACAGCATCGTCGGCAGTTTCCTTCTGAAGAAATAAAGTTTACCATCAATTCCAGTCTTAGGCACATAGCAGGCCCACCGCGTCTTGGTGGCTTTCAGCTGCCGTCACCAGTAGCGAAGACAAAACTAGTCGACCCCGAAGGGCCTACCGGCGGCCCTGTTGCCGGCTTGTTTTGTGCATGATCAATCAATTTCAACTTGAAAGCAGCCGTCTAGCTTCAGTACCGCCCCATAACCTGACAAGATTACCGACACAACATACAAAACACGCCACAACGTGCACTTGTCACTTTGGCTTGACCTGAGTTGGATTGAATCTCCGTGCAATAATAGTACGCTATCATCATCATCATCATCATCAATGGCTAGATCGAGCAGACGACATTATTGCGGCAATTTTCGGGGGTGCGATAATTATGCGAGTGCGAGGATTACGCGAGTAAATACGATAATATGTGGGGTTTAACGTCCAACAAAACCACCATATGATTATGAGAGAGGCTGTAGTGGAGGGCTCCGGAAATTTCGACCACCTGGGGTTCTTTAAGGTGGCGGTTCTACTGTCGCCATATTGCGAGTAGTTCTGGAAAAAACACCAGGCGGCGCCACCAAGTCAGGACCGGAAGGCCAACATTTCGGAGGTGAACTGCCACACGTGTGCCGGCGCGCCACACTGCATGACGAGGGGGTGCAAATCACGCTGGCACGGTTCGAAGAAATGAGGCACTGAGCAGGGGCTTTTTTTTTTTTCTCCCCTTCAACGACACCTCCACCTCTCTTCATGCTCACTATCCCCTGACCCCTGCCGTCGCTGCTTTTCAAGAGATTCCTCATGTAGGCTGCATAGCCTGCTTGGCCAGCTGCTCTACGTTCCATACAGTGCCGGAATGCGGGGTTGAGTGAAAAACTCTATCGCGGAGGTCACAACAATGTATACAACGGAGATCAAAACTTGGACTATGAGTATTCATGCGAGGTTCAACGGAACAGTTCGTTCTACAAATAACTGGGGTTGCTGGAGCATGATGCGGTTCGGTGGGACAGGAGAAGGCAAATTATATTTGACTATGTATACTTCCTTCCCAGTATGACCTAAGCTTCCGAATTTTCAAAACAAAACAAAAAAAAACAGGTAGTTAGGCAAATCGCGTGCTAAGAAGTGCGGCCGCTGTGACTCACGGTGCCCAACACGTGCCGACTGCATGATCATTAGTTTTCCCCACTATACGTAGCGTAATTTATTTCATTAGAATTGAAACTTCAGCAGGCTAGTATGAATTCATGTTTTGATTGATGCAGCGTTTATTTATCACGTTGCCGTATGCAAAGCATCGGACTAGTCAACAAACTATTTTTAGGACGAAAATGAAGCAATTACCTCTTGTGTGTCATATGAGCGAGACTCGCACATGCGTGGCCTGAATGGTCCAGGTGCGTTATTCCCTTGTCCAAGGAACGACTTCTCTATTCGCGTACGCTATTTCAACATATTTTTTTTTCCTGTAAAGGTCGTGGCAATAACATGAAGAGTGATCGTTTCGCCCAAATCAGTTATTGACTACAAGCTCGTAGATTCGAGGCCGTTACCTCAAGCTCTATAAACATCTCATGATAAAAACTGGGGCGAATTCACACAAACCTCCCAGGAGTGCAACAAGGGAGGGGAAGACTTATGGTACAGTGCATCTCCCATGCATCTTTCTACACAGCCGCTGCTTGAATTACTTCTATGTCGTACCCATTTCGAGTTCGTAAAGCGCATGCAAGGCAAAAACATGAGTACACAAATACAATAGTTGCAAAGGAGTTGAAGAAAAGGTCTTGTCGCACTGGATAAGGCTTTTGGATGCATGATTGGTCAATTCAAATAACTATGTCGGCTAACATATCTTCAAGCAACGAGTCTTAGTGTTGTGTATATGCTATGCAATGAAGGGCTGTCATGCAGTAAGCAAGATTGAGTCAATACACGTTGTTGTGACAATTTATTTAGTACGAAACGAGCGTCGGCAGCACTTGGTTACAGCCACGAAAACACCTGAACATCACACACACAAAAAAAGCCCGCAGAACTACAACGCATACATTCAGAGAAATGTGAAATCGCACAAAGCAAAAGTACATATAATCACGACTTTCGAATGCGAACTTGTGACAGCAGAGAATGAAGGTGTATGTTTTATTATTATTTTCCGTTATCCTATATCACACACGAACTTTTTACGAAAGTTCATTGGCGCTTCTGTGGTCATGTCTCTCGGTTATTGCTCCTGCAGAACGCACGTGAATGGCTGATGGCACACCCGACACAAGGAAGTGAATTGCTACCTCATAGCTTGTTCGAGCAAGAGTCTTTGCTATCGTCAAATCTGAGCCTGCATCTGCCATTCGATATATACAAGGTCGTTCTCCTAATGTGCAGTTCTTTAGAGCGAAGCTCTTACGTGCATACTGCTGCGTTGAGCGGCGGCGCCTGTTGGCGTCGTCGGCGTAAACAATAGAGCGAACAAGGACGAAAGAGCGAACGCGGAGTCTGCCGACGATGTAACTCGCCACTGGCCTCTAACCTCGCCTCTCCCGCCGCGGCCCCCCCCCCCCCCCCCGGTCGCAGCTGGCGCGCGTGCAGGGCTGGCACGTGCACTGCGGCTGGCTTCGCTTGCCGTAACGGAGCTCTCGGCATTTCGCTTGGTTCGCGACGCCTGCAATGCACAAAGTGGTATGCGTAACGCTCGAGCGCTGGCAATTTGCGTGGAAATATGTAAATAGCTACAACTGCACATGGCCGAAACTACAGACACACTTGGCGTTGCCCCAACACGAAAGTGCGCTCAAAATCACCATTAGGTAGCATCGTCACAATTGGTGATTTTCTTGACAGTGCACGCGCCCAGCAGTCCTACGACTCAAGGCTGTGGAAAATGTCCGAGTCGCCACTCTGCTTTGCCTCCTTGTTCTTCATCGAAGCTCGACTGCTGGTGTGACTCAATTGCTTTCACATTCCACTGTGGTCTGCGTATGGGCATGCTGCGCGTAGTACGGGGATCTACAATTTCAGGTAACATGCAGTCTCTGTAAAGTCTGATTAGTTGTGGAAGCATTCTGAATTTACAAAAGTCATTATCTCTTTCGATCCGCTGTACGTGGATGCCCTTCGACGTGCAGACGACGAAGTGGCAGAAACTTCTTTTAGTGATATGCAGCTGGCCTTGCACTTGGTAGAAATAGTTATGAGAGCGGCTCAATTTGGGTGGCTCGTGTACTTGGCTCCTTTGATTGTACTTTTTAGCTGCCTCGGATGGCTCCATGTCCTTCGCAGTGAATGGGCACTTCACCTCCACGATACCGTCGCTCGCAATTAATCCGTCTGGCACCGCCGCCAAGAATCCGTACTCTGGGTAAACAAACAACCCGCAAGGTTGCACAGCAGTTTCCATTTCTTGCTCGTATAACCGGATTGCGACACGTTCCTGTTGTCTTCCACGCTCGAGAGCGGCACTGGTAAAATTTTTCTTATAGAGCAGGGTCTTCACGAGCGCGTCACACGGTGTCCACTCCCTCCTTCGGCATACTGCATAGAAATTGGACGCCGTTAGGCGCATGTTTCTTTCAAAATGCCATGTAGTATTATCAGCTTGTCCTCGAGTAGCCTTCTCAATTTTCATCTGCTGTTTCTCATTCACCTGCAGGCTTGCTAAAACAGCCCGTTCTTTCTCGGCATATTGCTCTGGTGGCATGTCTGGCTGCTGGCAAT